TAACATTCAATGACAGGCTGCGCCATTGGCGGCAGACCAAATGCTCAGATTTGGGTGCACGTTAAAGAACCCCAGGTGGTCTAAATTTCCGGAGCTCTCCACTACGGCGTCTCTCATAATCATATAGTGGTTTTGGGACGTTAAACCCCACATATCAATAATTATTGATGCGTAAGTTGTGCGTGCTGTTCTTCGAAACGAGCGTCCGTAAGAGCCGGTGTGAATACAGTTGTGATAACGCACTCAGCCAATAATGTTGGTCCATGCCGACCGATGCGAACGAACGGATAGCTTTGTGATCAAGCCCCGAACTCAATGTTCTTGCCGAATATGTTTAGTTCGACAGAAAAGATGGTCGATCGCGGTGTCACCATATCATCTAAGGCGACCATCAACAGGCAAGCAGCACATAAAAGAAAGCAGCGTTTTGGATTTGGCGCCAGAACCTGAGATCACACATGCAGAGTGCAAGTTCGTTCGCTAGAAGTGTTCGCGTTGGCGGATGATTGTCAATCAGGGTGTTGAACGTGATAATGAAGATGGCCTATAACTAACAGAACTCATAAACGTTTTTTTAAAATTCAGTACAGGCCCCAATGCGCAAAAAAAAAAAATCTTTTACGCTGGAAAAAGACCGACCGATGGCGAATGACACTGTGAACGAAACGTACTGCAGTTTATTTATTTATTTTTCATTTATTCACATCTTCTTACTCATGAATTTTGCTTAAGACTTTAGACAAGTATGGCTCTTGGTATACGATAAGCAAATGCTGCCATCCGATGGGAACGAGCACTTCATAAACAAAAAACAAAACAAAAAAAAAAACTTCGTAAACTCGGTGCCTTACGCTAAACTCATCGGATCACGGGCTGCTTCAATGCCCTCAGATTTTTTTCATTACGAACACAAGTGAAACCAACTGCTTACAACAGCCAACGAGTTCGTAGATCAGAGAACATCTTTCGAGTTCATCATCATCATCATCATCATCATCCTATGCTAAGGCTCCTGGTCTTCAATTAACGTTGTCTGCGCAAGCTGATCTGACATTACGGAAAAATTAGTTGAGCACAACCTCTTCGCATGTAGGCTGCTGCTTTGTATTTTTTTGCGCTACGCTTTCGAAGTTCGTCTTCCTAAACACAACGCCGCCCACGATATCAGCGTGTCCAGATGGCAGCGTGCATATTCGACTGAGGCTATGCGTAGCAGGACGAGATGCCGCTTCTTTAGCGGGCATATGGACGGCCGGCCGGTGGTTCGAGGGTCGCCGCCAAGAGGGCACGCTTCAAGATGGCGACCGGGACGCTGCTCCTGGCGTGGCCATTCTTCCCCGGCCTGCAAAGTGGAAAGTAGAGGAGGAGGAGGGCAGAAAACAGGTCCGCCGCCAGCAGGTTGCTTTTGCATCTATTTTGTGGTAGCCGCACGGTTGGAAGAAAGAAGGCGCCTTTCCTCCCTCCCTGGCATCAACCTCAGCGTCTTGGAGCGGCGGCGAGGAGAAGCTCCTTCGACTGCTGCGGCGCCGAGCAGGCCTCAGGTGACTGACGACGGGTTACCGCAGCGAGGGACCATCCAACAAATGCGCCGATGTTCGATGCACGAACGAGGCCTGGTGGTCAGCGCGAAATGCGGAGAGCGCAGTCAGCCATGTCGTGGCCGGCTTCGCTTCAGGAATCAACTTTCGACAACGCAGCTGATCTAGTTATGCTACATCTTATATTCGCGTGAAGCGGCACACATCCTTCGTATCTTCCTGTTCATGCCTCTTCGGCTAACTTTCTTGATTCGCAAACAAAATTAGTTTTGAGTAAAAATAACTTCATAGCGATATTCCAGATGATTATCCGCAGGGCCCTCGTTAACATGTACGCTCTCCTTATAGAGACACCCAAAAAGAAAAGTGATTTTTTTTAATTTTGTTAAATTGCTCTGTCATGTTTCTAAAATCAACACGCTTTTCGCGAGAAGATGAGTGGCAAGCGAGAAAACGCGCAAAAAGAGTGCGGGTGGCAACGCCACTTTAGAATTCGCGCTCCGAGTCCAGACGTCTTATATCTTGCATTGCTAAAAATGAAGTACATTGTTTTCTGAGGGGAGCATAGATCTAACATACCAAGTTGTAGGTAATTACCTGAGCCAATGTCACCGAAATACAAATAATACACATTGAAATGCGTGACGTCAAGCGTGGATCTTGCGGCGCGAAATTTAAAAATGAAATTTTTGTCCTCGATTTTCGCCTTTATTATAAACCTATAATATGGTGAAATTAACGACACGAAGATTTTTTAGAGCACGATTTATCAATCTAAAACGATTCATTGTTTGACTTTAGCGTCAATTTAGATTACAGTATTCTCGGGAATTTTTCCGAATGCACTGCGACAATAGTTACATCCAGATAAATTTATTTAGGGTGGGCATTTCTCACATTCAAAAAAAAAAAAGGAAGCTTATGACGTGCACGTTCATGAGACGCGCGCGAATCCAGCTGACAACACCTGTGGGCCTGAGCCCCGTTTTTGTGCCGAGAGTGACAATAGGGACGCACCATGCGTGACCACGGAGGCTAGGTGAGGTGGTCTCGAACCCACCTGCGCGCACGCAGCGTGAAACGCACGCGGCCTACCCGCGTCGCTCTCTCGGGCAGCCACAGGAAAGGGGAGGATCACGAAAAGCCATTGCGAGCACGGCGCACTGGAATCGGAATACAGCCAGGCAAAAGTGGCCGCCCTGTGCTTCGTGGCCGAACCGGGGCCGATGACGGTCCCTGTCGGGTGGGTGGAAACAGGCGCGCTTCTTACACAGGCCTGGCTTGATTGAGACATCAGCCGCCAACGACCGCCCCCCCCCCCCCTCTCTCTCACCGTGTCTCGCCCCTGGTGGTCCTTCCGCGGCGCGTCTGTCCAGCACTGGTGGTCTTATTACGAGCCGACGATGATGAAGCAAGAAAGCTGGGGCAAAAAGCGCCACTGCCTCGAAAACTTTGTGTGGCCGACGGTACATTCGACGCACGGACAGATTAGAAGCGCCATGTTGGACTGCATACGCTCACACAGCGCTTTTCAACCTCTCTCTCTTTTTTCCCCCCTTTACCGGTACTGGTCTCATGGAGACGTGGTATTGTAGCGGACTGGCCGCCCACTCTCTGACGACCATATAGGTGATCGTAAGCTTTTCTGAGAACGCACTTCATCAGTAAATTGCTCTCGCTTCCCACGTTTCTACGGAAACTCCACACGGCCGCACTCTGCAGGTACTAGTATCTGGTCTCCGGAAAATATGGGCGGAACTGAGAAACTTTACTGTTTTCTTTTGGCGAATGAATGCGCCAAAAAAGTGCTACTCAGGAGCTTTGTGACACTATAGATCTTGGAAAATATACTGTTGTGGTTATACAAGGGAAAGGAAACGTGGGATGAATTCCCTACCACCCCTCCTACCATAATGTAGATGCGCGCGCATGTACGCGTGTAAATAACGATACTGATGCATACATAGAGAGACGGGCGACACATCCTAATGAAAGAAAATATGTTGAATATTCAAACTAACAAACTTTGCGAGTTCCAGTAAACTTGGAAATCTAGACGAGCTCTCAGTAAGACAAACCCTCTTTAACTCTACATATACCACAGGAAACACAACTATTGACAAAAGCGACCAAGTAAAATACTTAGGCGTTACACTCTCATCGAACCTCAACTGGCAACCACACATTTTAAAAATGCCAGATGTTGTAATGCAGAAAGGAAATTATCCTTTCTGGGGAGAAAATTGCGCCCTGCACCACCACGCCTTAAACTTAATGCAAACAAAACACTAATTAGATCACGTTTAGAGTACGCCGATGTTATCTGGAGTCCACATCAAAAGAACCTCATTGATAAAAAGAAAGAATACAAAAATTGGCAGTTAGGTTTGTATATTCAGACTTCTCAAGGCAATCCAGTTCTGCAGGCTTGCTCGCAAGGGCAAACTCAAAACCTCTTTCGCAACGCAGAATTACATCGCGACTAAGATTTCTTTACCAATTATATCATGGTACAATTCTGCATATCACGTTCTCATTACCTGCTAGACCCGCCTAAACACTCATTGTGACTTAACCATTCTAAAACAATCCACCAACCTTTCAGTCGTGTTAACACTCACAAACATTCCCTTTTCCGTCAGCTATCCACCACTGGAACACACTAGATAATAAATTATATTGTGTGCGGTAACACCGTTCAATCATTTATAAACTTAATGAGATGGGTCCAATTTGAATTATGAGCTGTTGACATTGTATCTTTTTTCTTGTTATTTCGTGTGTGTATTTATTTCTATGTTTAATATGTATTTTCTTGTCCCCACTCCTGCATTGGCTGTACAAAGCCTGCAGTATGTTCAAATAAAATAATATAAAAAAAACCACGGCAGCGTTACGACATGGGGCCCCTTCGATCGCACTCGTGGCACAGAGCGTACTCGAAACCGAAACCGGGCGAAAAAGCACGCGTGTGGCCACGCCTTTTGAAGCGACGTTGCTGCTTACGTCACTGAGAGGCAGACAGGCTGCGCTGCTCCGTCTTTTCCATTTTCCTTTGCTGCCCTCTACCGTTTTGATGGGGACTGGGACAAACGAAAGCCTCCGAAATCACAAGGCGTTTCGCGACAATACCGCCAGGGAAAGTGCGCATACGTCGCGGAGAAGGAAAAAAAAAAGTACACTGGTGATTGAACCACCTAAAATGAGATACGCACGCTGATGAGCAGCCGAGCGTATTTATCCGTTGATCGCTGACGTATGCAGTGGCGCCTTCTAGAGGGCGGGTGTGGCAATGCGTGCATTCTGCATTTGGTTTCGGTTTCGTGTGCGCCGAGATTGCGGTGCCGCAGATCCGTCGTTAGTCACATGTTTTCATATCCAATAGTTGATAGATTTTGCAAAGAAATTACTTTAATTTCCTCCCTTAATATCCTGTGACAGTGGTAATTTTATTAGGCTAAATTCAATAAAGATATATTTATTTACAGACTAATGACAGTGTGAGTTAGTCATGTAGTCGCCAACACTGAAGGCATGTCTTTAGCAGAGCCACCTGTTAATTCCACCTGTTAATTCACAGGCGCAACAAATTAGTTGCGCCTGTGAGATGCGATGAATAAGCCAGTAGATAACCACTTATTATCCTTGCATAACTTAGTTTTTAGCAGGACATGATGAGTACTAATTGTAGGCGAAAATAAAGGTTAATACACTGTGTCGTGCATGTCTTCCTTAATCTCCAGTATCCACCTTGCCCTGTCAAAAAAAAAAAAGGGGGGGGGGGGTACACCAAGTCAGAACAATTACTTTGTCTTTATAGATCTGGAATGTATTTACACACAACATTGTGCATATATGCTATATGAATGGTGTGGGAGTTGGGGAAATGGTGCAAAGCCAGTATGAAGGTTGCTGTTCATGCTGGATGCTTGACTTTAGTCATCCTCATATCATAGAAAGTATAGATTAGAACTAACTTTATTCTAGGTCTAATTAAATTTACATCATAAAGATAAGCTGTAGGCAACATTTGTATCCACCAGAAACTGTTGCTTACTTGTGCTAGCCAGCAAGCTACAAACAAGAAAGCATTGTGCTGTGAGTATGCTTTTAGAGTTTGACCGCCAACTTGTCATTAAATGCACATGGCTTCTTTACACACTGAAGCAACGAATCTGCATTATTACCTGTCACCAACCTTTATTGCCTATAGAATATACAAGGAACACTCTACTTCTATTGAGTTTCTCACTTAATCTTACACTGTCACTCTCATGTTATTGCAGCTGAGCTTCAGAATTTTTTTCTCATGCTTGCAGGTCTTGTGGCACTTGGATATATTTCGAAGAAGCTTCAGAGACTTGAGTGGACATATCTGCATGTCAGACTCATGCATTTTCTGTGCGCTGAAGGTAAGCAGGCTCGGTTAATTGTAAAACAATGCTTGAAACCTGTACTAACAGTTCACTGCCATATTTCTAGGACAGTGATAACAAAGATGAATTATGATTGAGTTAAGGAGCCAAAAGGGCTTATATTCATAGGGGCAGCCCTGACAAAGTCAAGTCTGTGCGTCGAAACATTGGTTACAGTCCCCTGTTCACTGATTTCTCACGTACTTACGGTTGTATTTCAATGAATATGCTTGCTAGTTTGACTCTTTGTTGAGCTGGATTGTGGGTTCAAGTGTCTACAAATCAAATGTGTATCAAGTAAGCCATGCTGTAGAATTTAATTCATATGTTACTTTTTTTTAGTGGGTTGTGTATTGTCACTACCAGAAAGATTGCAACTTATAGCCAAACTTTTTTTAAAAAATATGCATTTCATTGTTGCAGGAACTTTTTGCCCAGTTCCAGTACAGTCAAGAATCTGCCCTTCCACCTGATGCTTTACGGCGGGCATTGGCAGAGACCTTCTTTGACCAGAGGAGATTTCAACTGGGGTATATGGATGATGCTGCTGAATGTTTTGTAAGTTTATCACTTCAGAGATACACCATTTCTAGTGTTGACAGTGACATGCTACCAGTCATTTTTTTCCCTATTCCTTACTCAGAAAACAAGCAAACACATGAGAGTAATCATTACATAGCCACTCATATTCTACACATTGAGGTAAAGTCTGTTCCGTCTCATTTGTCTCTCTGCAAGGCAAAAGCTACCAGCATTGCCACTGGGGAAAAAGCAAAGTTTTTAGCATAATACCACTATAATCTGCAATGGTCTTTGGAGCATTGACTTTGTGGTGAATTTCAATCCACGTGGTAAATTTCGTTCAGACCTACATTTTTACTCATATGATGGACACAGTACATAGACCAAACACAGAAAGAACAATTGCAACAGGGCACTGAAAAACCCACTCACTCAAGCACACATGCATGCACAGGCGTGCACACTTGCACACACACACATGCATGGGCATGCACACATATGCATGCACACACACACGTGCACACAGAGAGAGAGAGAGAGAATGTTTAATCAGTCCGACTGAGCATCATATTAGAGCTCACATTAGTAGATTTTTTTTTTCAAGTGACAGTGGATTTTCGTGAGTGTGAAAGTAGGCTGAATTTGCCTATGACATTGTGATATCCACCACTTATAAGTCATCCTTGTACTTGTGATATCACACATATGGTACTCACAGCTAGGAGAATTTTCGAGGTTATACAGACCAATCAGCACACAGTAGCCAAACGGCACTTATTGTGATTGGAAACATCAGTCTGATTCTGGCAGGGTAGTCGTGAGACAGTGAAAAGCAGCCAGTAATGTGGTCTTGTTCATCAAAGCCACCAGGCTAAAAATTGTGCAGTCATAAAAGCTGAAACCAAAGCAGCTTTTGGCACACAAGCAGCTGTTATGAGCTAGAAAGCTGGCTTTGTGAATGTGTCCATTCTAAAGACTCTCTTGAAAATTTGAGAAGGTGAAAGGTATTCAAGTACAGGCACATGGCTAGGAAATAGAACATAAACACAAGAATTTAGCTTAGAATAGCTTTATTGCCATGGTACTTGCCTTCATATTTCGTAATTTCTGTAGAACAATTTTGGGGCACGAATAGCTTGAAACTTGAGGAACATAGTTCAAGTGAGTTTACTTCCGGAATGACAAGTGTTGTAATTGTTAAGTACGCCTTTATCATGATGTTATTTCAACCAGACAATAATAGGACTGTTCGCCTTTAAAGGGTGTTTGGATTGATAAACTGCTAATATAAATGGGAACATTGGCATGTTACTCCGACTGTAGATACTGCAAGAAATGTTGGAGGAAAAAATCTATCATGCATATGATTATAAGAGCACATAAACACATGCATACACGTATTCCTGCAAAAAACATCAACATGGACAAGCTATCTTTCAATTTATTACTATAAGAAAAAGTAAGCGATTATACTGCTAAAACCAAAAGAAAGCATATAGTCCTAATAACAACACCATAAAACAGCAATGAAAAGAAAAAAAATCAGTAGTGATGCTAACAGGAAGTGATGCCAAGCAGAATGAATAAAAGACCAGTGAAATATGAAAATCTTAAAAATGTTATCCATGGCCATTGAGAATAACAACTTTGCCATCTGAGAATAAAATCATGCAGTCTTAAAAAACAAACAAACTGGAAATGCTCAATATTACTCAAGGTTTATTCACAACCGAACATTTTCCTATTACAGTTTCAAATGATAATTAAGGGTATTCTGTTTTCTAGGAAAACATTCTTCAACGGATTCATTTCCACATTGCCAGTCAGGAGGTTGAAGATATGTGCAATGTTGCACACTGCATTCCTCACCAGAAGTTTGCTATGACGCTTGTTGAGCAGGTAAGCACATTACGATTTCCTTTTTTGTTTTTAACGGTGCATGCATATTTATTCTACAATGCCAACACTGAGTGTGTATCCTTGGTTTCCATTTCAGACTGTATGTCATGTTTGTGGAGCATCATCAGAGCCTCTGCCATTTACTCAGATGGTTCACTACGTCTCTGCCTCTGCTTTATGGTAAGGTTTCAGTGGAGAATGCATCCAAAAATTTTGTGTTTGCACAGGCATTCGAGATTTTGTTGTTTAAATTTGTGTCGCATCTACAATTTCAGCCTGCAGGCATCACTTGTAGATAGTAAGGAACAAAAGCCAGTGTCCTTTGGAGAGCTGCTGCGAAGAGCAGGAGGAATGGGTGACATCAGAGACTGCCCAGTAAGAAAAATGCTTGTTAGTTAGCATGCATGCTGCCAGTTTTGTCACTGTCATCATGTGAGAAATTCTAAGTGTGGAAATGCTTATATGCGTGTTGCATGTTTTATTCACTTTTTGTTCTTTCATGAAAATACAGAGCTCATGTGGTGCCAAAATCCAGATATGCAAGACGCTTATGAACCGACCGGATATAGGTAAGAGGAATAGATTGCAGTTCTATGTTTGTTTTCACTATTATCAATTGTGCCATTGTGCGAATGCTAAACTATACGAAAATTTTTTTAACTTACGTTTTTCCTCTCCTTCTTCTCTTACAGTGAGCCTTGGTCTGGTTTGGGATTCTGAGAGACCAAGTGTAGACCACATTGTAGATGTTCTCGACAGCATTGGGATGACTGTAAATATGGATGAGGTAATGTGAGATGTTTTATTTCTTTACATGTATGAACATATAGTGCTCAAAATACCCATCATCAGCTGGTGTATCTTTTTCCATTCATCTGTAAAAGGTTGTTTAAAGTTGTACAACGCCAATGCAACTTTTGTCTGCCTTATGGATTTAAGTAAATGGGTAAGGCAGACAAAAGTTGCATTCATGTTATACAGCTTTGGGAGATGATTAAAAAAGAGTCTTTGACCACTGTGGAAAAAAAAGCAAATATAGCTACAGTTTTTCTAAAAATATATATTTAACCGATTTGGTTTTGTAGAAAAGATGCTTGCCACCTTTTGATGAAAATTAGTAGATGAGAGAATGTTTTAATGATTTTGTATTTCAATGTGTCAGATATTTTTTTTTGAGAATACACAAAAATTTGAAAGTAAGAATACTTTACTAAGATTACCATGCTAAAAAAATTAAAAACAGCATTTACATTGTTATGTTGTATAGCTTGATGAAAACTATAAAGATCAAGACCCAATAGCTAGTACTTGATGCCAATCAATATGCTGTACATTAAAGGCTGAGGAAGCTCTCTTGAAGTTGCCACAAGCAAATTTACAAAACATGTAGGTGCTTCAGCTGTTTGCAGTGTAAGTTGTAATAGTGTAATAGAATGAAGTAAGGCATGATGATCAGCAATCATTGCAATATTCAATATGCATGCAGCAATAGTGGTGCTTGCTGGAACCCAAGCTGTAGCGATTTCTTTCTTCACGCATATGCTTATATACTCTGTAATCAAAGCTGCATTAACTGTACTTTAACCAAACACTTCAAGTCATTCATAGCATTCATTCATCACCAGTAATTCATCTTTGGTTACATGTATGAAAACTGGTCACAATTTAGATGAGTTTGGCTTTCTAGGTGCTGAAGTACAATACGTCCGAAGCGCTGTGATGACCCTTTCTCTCTAGTTCCAGTGATGTAAAGCTAACATTTGAATATATTTTTCAGATGTTTCACAAAGTTGTAGATACCAGGTGGGCCAGCACAGTGACTCATCACCTCGTAGGCATAGTGACATACTACGGCAAACATTACTCTACATTTTTCTTCCACACAAAGCTGTGTGTTTGGATATACTTTGATGATGCCACCGTGAGAGAGGCAAGTATAGAAGTTCTTACACTATCTACATTTTTGTTTCCTAGCATTCAGCTCTTAGAAGCACAGCTAAATAAGTACTTTCATCATCCATTTGTCAATGTTAAACTGCTAAGAATACATGCATATATTATAAATAATTGTGCATGCCTAAGACAGTTATGCTTGAGAAAGACCTAACAAAAGCAAAGGTCTGGGTACTGCACCACACAGTTATTGCAGTTGGATCGTTCATTAATTTTAACAGCCAGTGCTTACCAAAGCAGAAAAGTCTTAATTGACAATTCTAAATAAATGTTTACATTTGTCTTTATTGAAAAGCCACATTAATTTTTTACAGCAAAACTTGATTTTAAAGTTTCCTTTTCTGATAATTTATTTCATGTGTTTTAACACGTTTTCATGACTTTCACTCTGTTACCTTGATTGGTTTTCATGTTCTGCCATTTAAATTTACTCTTGGTTTGATTATAGCTTGATTGTCTATATTGGTGAATGAGAAGTTATGTAAAACCTGGCATTTCAAACTGCATGCAGTTTGAAAGTTGCTGCATAATTGCTTTGTTTTTGTGTTTGGTCATGTATTGTTTACAACATGAATTGTTTGAAAATTATGACAAGATGTAATTAGGTAGTAGAGAGCATTCAATTGGCAAAGATTAAAAATTTTCTGGTAACAAATGAAATGCTCATGCACCATTTGTGCTTCAAACAGGCCAACAAAAGCTTTAGATAAAACATATTTTGCTTGCTTGCTAGGTGGCAATAGAGCTTGTATGGATGCGTATTTTTTCTTCCCCTTCAGATTGGCCCCCATTGGCAGCAAGTGGTGGACAAATGTCACAGAGGGCACTTTCAGCCTCTACTCCTGCTTTATGCAAACCCCAACGGAACTCCAGTGTCTACAGCCACTGCACCAACTTCTGTGATACACTACATATCTGAACACAAAAGTGAGCATAAAAAATGTTTCATTACTTATTATTTGACTGAAATACAATCCAGACAAAAATAGAAAAAATACAATTTTTGTAAATGTTCGTTAAATTTAGCCTTTACTGAATGAAATATACATGGTTTGAAAAACAATTAGCCAATAGGCTCAAAAAAGTTTCATCGCTTCAAAAATTTCAGGTAGTCATTATTTCCTTTCTGACGCTCAATAGTATGAAGGTTGTTCATAAACATTGTACTATAGCTGTGAAGCAACAAACATTAAGCAGTGAGACTTTATTGAAAGTTTGCTTTCTGTGTGCAAAACTTTTTGTTGCTGTGCAAATAGGCAGAATGTACCTACAACCCTGAGCATAAATATTTAAGCCAGTGGATGCACACATACTTAAAAATAAGTCAACCTGTTGTACACTACCTTTACCCTTTTTATTACCTGTTTTTATTGCACAGGTGTGTGTTTTGCTCGTTCAGTGATGTTCTAGTCTACCAAGAGATTTGCTATCTAAAGACAAATATATATTAACTTTCAAAAACATTTCCTTTGTATGTTAACGAGAGGCACAATTCCTTGGCTATGTTTCATAGATCCAAATTATCTTTTTGGCTATTTCTTGATAGACTATGCTTGTATATAGGTCACACTGTGAACATCTACAATCAAGTAGTAGTAGTATAAAAATATTCTGTGTGTACAGCACAACACAATTTGTGTGCATACGTTTTGCCACACATTTTGTAAAAAAAAATAGAAATTTGGTGCCCACATTGTCAGTTATGTTTGTTGCTGTTTATTCAACTTTCTGGTGGTGAATATACGCTTATAGACTAAACAACATGCAGTCCAATAACAACTTCTTGCACTTGCATGCTGCCTGATTGATTGTGGAAATAGCTAACCACTGTCATGTTTATGTATAGTTATTGGTATATACAGTTAATCAACACTGACGGGTTGGTGTTGCGGTACGCTGCTGACAAAGCGCTCGGCTACTTGTCAAGTTAGGAAACCAATCAGTTTTCTGTGGAAGTCCAAACAAGTACTTACAGTGTGGCTATTTAATTTTTTAAATAGTACTGGCAAACTAATGAAGAGGCACTTCTTCAGGTCATTACAAGTAGAAATTACGCCATGTTTCTCAAAACCTCACCACGCAGTTTCCTTCATTCTTCCCACAATTTATGAAATGTGCAGCCATTTTACATTGAATAACTTTTGTGCTTTCGTCCAAATTTAAATAAAGCGTTTCTCGGAAAAGGTGTTCGGTAGAAAGAAACTTGATCATCATTTGCTACCCATACGAGCTAATGGTTTTTGATATCCTGTTTACATGTCATAATGTAAATAATTATAAAGTGTGCTCCTAGACCATGTACTTTTAATGTTTTAATTTAGTACATTAATACTAGCTGCATTTGCTCTAACTTGGTTCCACAAAAAAAGTAATTAATAGCCTACCTTGTGTCGCACATATAAAGCTAAACTTGGAGAAGACCTCAACTCCTCAGCAAATTGATATGGCAGACACTGTGGTGTTTATCTTGTTGAAAATATACGTCAGGCTAACAGTAGCATAACAGTTATATAAAGCATATTCTATAATTTACCTCCAGCAAAGTTACATGGATAGTTCAGTTAACCTCATGCATATAATTAAAAAAAGTACTCTACCTTCTCTGTATCTACAGAAAAACAAATGGACTTGAAGCGATCCACAAGTGAAAAGCACAGATATGGCCAGCAAAATGGAAAAAACAGTGATCAGCTGCCTGCAGGCATGCACATCGCCAGTGATGCATCATGGAGTCGTGGCAGCTACCTGACCAACAAGAAAGGGATTAGCATAGGAGGCCGCTCAGCAGTGCAGGAGCCTTTGCCCATCTCAGACATGGCTTTTGCGCACTGTGCAAAACCAAGGGCACGGACTTACTCGGACACATCCATCATGTCGGAGCGCCCTTATGAGCAACATGGCAGTGGGTCAGACCTGGAAACTCAGCACGTGCACACAATTGAAGGTGCACACCATGTGGCCAGACAGGCAGGAAGAAATAACACCTCAGACATAGACATCAACGGCACATATATCAGCAGGCAGGCAGTGGAGAGTGTACTAAGCCTTCAACACAAGCAAAGGCAACGAACACTGCATGGGGCCAACACACCCGTTGTACCTGGCAGCCGAAATAGCAGCAGCAGTCTTGAATCATTTGAGAACTCACTGCACATGAGGGAGAAGGCATCTGACTGCGTTGATGGCGCTTGCCGGAGAAGAGATTCGGGTAACTGGAGTGGAGATAGAAACAGTGCCAGCTCGGCCAGCAGCACCTCCTTGGATGGGTCCTACTACTGTGCCTCAGGTGTAAGGAGGTGAGCAATGATGGAAGCTGTTGCAGTGCGGTTGACTGAAATATTGCTCATAAAAAAAATATTCTGCTTCTTTGCTTGGCTGCCACCCACATAAAACTTTGGAAGTGTAGAAACAGTTAGGTTGTGTTCTTGCGGGAGAGTTCATTGAATGTATGGATACTGTCCTTGTGCAGCAAGGCATTCTTAAATATTTTTATAAATCTCTTTTGTATACGTACAATTACAGAGCTCAACTGCAATATGAAATAAACGTAGGCAGACAAAGGCAGACAAAGAAAAAAAAGCTTTCTGTAGATGTTTGTTCAATGCAGTAAACGTAATGAAAGTTGTTTTCCATTTTCTAACAACTTTGCACACACCATAGATGCTCTGTCAACAGTTAAGAAATGTGGTGTATTGGTCGATCTCTTGGTTGCAAGGTTAGGCAGGTCATTTATGGAAGGTGCATTCCTGTAGCTATTGTAATAAGCATTATGCAAGTCATTAAAGAGGTATTGACACCCTTTTTCGAAGGCAAGTTTACCATGCAAATCTCCTGCATGCAGAGACGACTCTGAACATATGTGTGACGCTCAGAAAATGCTGATAATGTTTTATTTTGATATTAAAGTCACTCTTTTCATGGCGTACTTATCGACATTGACACTAACATGACGTCAGGCTACAGTATTAATTCTTGTGGCTTCACGCTACAGTCTGGCTAGTTGTGATGACGTCAGGTGCTGAAACTTCCAAGATAACTGCTTGTGAATCACTGAAATATTCAAAATGGCCATTTGTGCATCACTAACGGAACCATGGGGCGGTACGGTCATGGAAACATCACCATATCTTGTGCGAGCATGTGACGAGAAGCTCGTACCTTGTTGTGATGTCAGGGTACAGTAGGAACCGAAACTAGCTTTTAAAAACATACTGTAATTGCTTTGTCAGGGTGCACTCATGCATAAGGCTTGGCCTTTCATTTGACGCAAGAAAACAAGAAATGAAAATTTTCATGTCAGTGTCAGTGCTCCTTTAATTGATTTCTGTGCCACTGAATTTCATTAGCACCAGGATTATTAATAATACACACACACTTCACGTTCTTGCACAAAGTTAACTGAAGGTCATTGCGTTATACAAGAGCTATCACCAAGTTGCTGAAATGATACTACATTTCTTGTCTGGTGTGCTAATTCAAATTATTTGTGTAAGCGTTTATCTTGATCCCTGAGTGGAGCATCAGTTTCAGTGACAGTAAATGACTAGATGCCTTCAGAACTGATAATATGTGACTGTGGACGGGACGCTACATGGTTGGTTACCTAAGTCAAGAATGGGATTGTGATCTAGATAACTATATAATGTGCTTGTACTTTGCAAATACTATTGTTTTTTGTCTTGATAGTTTGTTTGATGACTAATGTGCAGTGTTTGTTTAGGTTGCAAATGCATATCTGTTTCCTCTTTCTTTCACACAGAGCTTGTGGAAGCCCTGGCAGGCCAGTGAACAACTTTTCCAAGCATGAATATTCGAACATAGGGATGCTTGTGGACAAAGGCTATGACTCTTATTCCCTGTCAAGCACAGACAGCTACCCATCTGCAGGAATGCCAGGGTCTCCAGCCAAGGCAGACCCACGGCTGCAACAAATACCAGAGGCCGTACACATTTCCAACAGGCTTAAGCGGGCCATTCACCACTCTCTGCTGCAAGGAAGCGACTCAGCCTCAGATTCAGTTTTTGATGATGTCTTCACCAGTGGGAAAGGGGAGGGTGAGTATCATATGCCTTTACACATTTGAAATTTATAGTAGACGAGCAGTGGAAAATCATTTTTTACTCGATAATCAGGCGATGGGAAATCTGCTACCCACCTGCCATATATGTACAAAACAGGGCTATTGGAAGCTATTTTTATGTTACAGCATTGTGTCACAACTTTACATAATCTTTAATATAAAAACAAAGTTAGAGAATTGACATACACTCAGAACTTTTTTTTCTTCATTGATTAAAAGATATTTTCTGTTGCAGTACATAAACAATTGTTATGCTCAGAAATTGTAAATCTTTAAAGGAAACATTTATGAGCATGCCTCACGAAAAAAAAAAAAAAAACTTCATTTGGTAAACTTAGTTAGCACACAGTGTTTGGCAGCACTTTGCAAGCATTCCACAATGCTTTGTGTGCACTGAGCCTACTTGAGCCACGCCATTTGCTTGATCGTTTTAAACTTCAATATGTAAATCAGAGGCTTTACAAGATTGGTATGTAAATAAAAAGGCTTTCTTATTTGGCATTTTCGGCATGTTATAAACATGTGAAAGCTCTGCAGCATGCGTGCAACAGAGAGCCAGACATGGTAGTATGTATATGTACTGGAGTGTGCCAATTAAGGAGAATAAGGAAAAGCAAAAGACAGTAACTATGACTTTTCTACTTGCTCTCTGAGGTGCAGGAAGTCATTCAGATTGTTATGCAGCTTTTGCTATAGTAAGAAAAAAAAACTTGTTTTCTTTGAAATCTGTACTGAGCCATCAAATTCCAACAGGAGAGTTACCAAAGTATCTTGTTAAAAAAAAAGAAAAAAAAATTGCTGAGTGTTTATGTGTACATTTGTAGCCATATCTTGCAAAAAAACACACACACACATCTGTAGGTTCCTGTGTCCTCTTTTGTATAAAGTCACGAGTTTGCGGGAAACTTTGCTGTCTGGAAGGATGTGGCATAAATAGTTAATGATTGAGTGCTGACAACGTGAATTGAAAATAAGAGATATTTGCTGCACACTTTGGTGATTTGTGAACAAGGTTCCCATATATGTAGGAGCTAATATCTATATTTTTAAACTTCTTGTTGTGATAGATGTAGAATTTTTAGTTACTCACCGATTGTTCCATGTGTAAAGTAAAAACAAATTTAAGGAGTATATATTTACTTTTTCTACTATTATTTTGATTCTTTACACACAAGAAGAATCACAAGACTGTGACAAGTTGTGCTCGCAAGCTGAGATGTGCTTGAAGATGTCATACGAAAAGGAGCAAGCAGGAGACCTTAAAATGGCCATTTTCTTCAGTGATTCAGCAGCAGGTGAGTTCAAATGAAGTGAAACAATAAATAGTATTTTTCCCATTTAAGCATAGCACTGAAATTCTTCTAATGACCCTCATATTAAACATTAGAGCCATTCTTACTTTCACTTCATGAAATTTCATTTTTATAGGCATCGGCTGTTAATATGTTCTCTGTGACAGCGTTTTCATTCGCATATGAGGGCTAAGATTATGCTAATCTTTCTTCCACAGCTAAAGCAAGAGCCGCCATGGATGCTCCTTATGGCAATGCACAGTCACTGATTGCAGCGAAGATGAAGCACAGCATGAGTGTGATGCGCTCATCCAACCTATCCAAGCGATTGAAGGAAGCAGAAGAACGACGCCGAGGGAAGGAGTCCAATGGCTATGATGCTCACCACAGCCGTCAAGGAAGCAGAGATAGCACTCACAGCCGCCACACTCGCCAGGGCAGCAGGGACAGTGCATGCACAGTCATTGATCTGTCAGAGCCAGTGAAAAGCATAGAAATATATGCAACTCTGCCAAAAAAGAGCTCCAAAAAGAAAAGTGCACTGTTTGCTCAGTCTTCTCTTCGTCTAAAAGATGGAGTGGAAAATTACAAGGATTTCCTCGCAGAGCAGTGGCACACCAGCAGTCAGGATGATATGGCCATTAAAATGATGTCTGATGGAGAATACACACTTAATCCTAAGACTAAAATGAGAAATGGAGTGGGCAGCCATGGTGAGACCAATGGCACAAAGATGAAAGACCCTGAATTCAGTGACTATTCTAGCGAATGGGAGCAGTCCAAAAAGCCTTCCTTACATCGAACACTCTCCAACCCGACAGGCATGAAGAACCATGATGCTGAAGACGGCGGTAATGCTTCGGCATCAATGAAGAAGCAGCACAGGATTCGGAGAAAGTTGATGGGTGGTTTCATGCGCCGCAAAAACAGGAGTCTCCCTGATTTACGTGAAGGCAAAGATGCACCGCAGGCTGAATCAAGGGCACTTGATGACACCGTAATTTTTGATGCTAAGAATGAATGTGGCATCAAGCAAGAGTCCTCTAATGAAGATGAAGCTCGTGAAGATCACTCAGCCACAATCAAACGACGTGGCTTCCACCAGCCTCACAGAGCTTTTGTTAGCAGAAACTATGCACAGCGACCACTTTTGACCAAGGTTGACCCTCCTCAAGTTGACGGTGTGACTTCCTCTGCCTCGCTACATCAGAAGAACACTGCCTGTGGGCAGCAAGATGATTCATCTAAGCAGACACCATGTTGGCCACAGCCACGACAGCAGCCATCTGAAGGGGTCATCCCTTCCACTATGCTGCACCACAGGAACACTGGTTTTGAGCAACAAGACCTTTCAGCTATACAGGTACCTTGTTGGCCACAGACTCGACAGAAACCACCTGAAAAGCTTGGAAACAAAACTGTTGGGGTTGACATAGGTGGTTTTAGTGATTCTCATATGCCAAACACAGCTGTAAACCTGCCCAATGGGTTCAATCTAAACCAAGGCATGGCTTTGGAACCAAACAGCTTCTTGACAGAACTGCACAACAAGAGAACACAAATCTTGAAATCACTGCCCAAGCCGACCGAAAATGTTCGAAAACACCAGGGTGGTGAGCCAGCAACACCAGTGAAGCTCGAACAGCATTCCAGTTCTGCTCCAAGTGGAAATAACTGGTTGTGTGAACTTCAATCAAAACAGATGGCTATGCTCAAAAAAGGGGACCATGTGGATGATGTGAAGACTACACGTGACAAAGATACGATACCATCTGGTAAGCAGATTGTTACATAATTGCACAAATAGATTCTGACTAAAACATTTTATGCAATACTTAAACACTAGTAATGGTGTTTATTCTAAGTGTTAAGTTGTGATAAGGTCTACTGTGGGGGAGAATTAACTGCTACTGAGATATCTGGTCATTTCTGGTCATTCAAGTGTAGCTTTAAGATGGGAAAATTTATATTGTCTTTTTTTTTAGTCATGCTAAAGCACCTTATGCTATACTCGACCCAAGTTTATTTGTTGCTGGCTGGAGACATGCATGAATTCTTTCTTTTTTTATTCTTTCCTACACCATCCCTTGCGTAAAGTGGCAGTCCTCACTCACTCCCGGTTACCCTTCCTGTCTTCAGTTTGCCCTTTTCATTCTCATTCAACCAATTGAACTTAGCATGTTTTGCCATGCGTGCTTAAAGTTCACTTGGGCTACGACTCATTGCCATTTTCTCTGATATGTGTTGCTTTTATACTTCGTGTAGCAGCATAGGCTAACAAGAGATAAGATGCCCCATGTTTGCATTGTGAAACCTGAAAATTGATTCGTTAATCCTAATTTGTGATGATTCTTTATAAATTACCTTTTGTTCCTTAATTCAGGAAAAGATGAAGCTGTTCGACAGCCACTGATGTATTGTGCTACCCAAGTTGCCAATAGAAATGTGAGTAAATTCAACAAATATACTCCACACCACATATAAAACACTTGATAATTGCACATTAAGGCATTTAGTAGAAAAAAACTGTGTGGAATACATGACAAAGTGCATCATAATAACAGGCAAAACCTGAAATTGTAGAAATAGTTGCAATAACTGTTACAAAATTGCTGGTGCTGTTCCCCATAAGCACTTCACCCTGCTAGCATACAAGTTTATTACCCATTTCTTTGGCTGAAGAAAGATTGCAAAGTAGCTGGAGAACAGTGCTTTGTCACAAACTGTATTGTTTTGGCATGAAAAATAGCCGCTGAGATTTAGCAAGCATTGATTTGTTTTGCAGGGGTGCTTTAAAATGAATATTTTAAAACATCCCTGTGAAACAAATTAACACTTGCTACATCTCAGCTGGTTATGGAGGTACATGAAGATACCGCACGAAATAGCATAAGCTTAATTTACTCGAAATTGATATAAATTGATAATAAAAAAGGTGAGCCTCCACATCCACACATATTTGGTGGAGTTGACACCTAAGTGGTGTAACTTGCAACTTCCTCATTCTTAATAGAATTAGAATTTCTGTAGTATTTCATGTGTGTGTGTGTGTGTATATATATATATATATATATATATATATATATATAAACAGAAGAAGAATGAGGATGGCGTGGATCACATTCGGCAAGCATTCTCAAACCATGAATGGTAATCTGCCACTAACCCTCAAGGGGAAGGTATATAACAGCTGCATCTCACCAGTACTTATGTAAGGAGCAGAAACCTGAAGGCTTATAAAGAGGGTTCAGCTTAAATTGAGCACGACACAGCGAGCAATAGATAAGAAAATGATAGGTGTAATGTAATAGAAAGGAAAATGATAGGTGTATCCTATTATTTCAGAGACAAGAAGAGAGCACAGTGGGTCTGAAAATAAACCGGAGTTAAGGATATCATAGTTGAAATCAAGAAGAAGAAATGGAGATGGGCCAGGCATGTAGCATGTAGGCAGGATAACCGCTGGTCATTAAGGGTAGCTGACTGGATTTTCATAGAAGGCAAACGCACGAAGGGGAGAAAAAAAAGTTAGGTGGGCTGATGAGAGTAAAAACTTTGCAGGTACATCGTGGCAACGAAAAGCACAAGACCTGGTTGATTAGCGGATCATGGGAGAAGCATTTGCCCTGCAGTGGCTGTAGTCAGGATGATGATGATGATATATCAACAAGACTGCATTGAATTTTGAAATAATTGACAAACGTTTGATTATATCAATATATACATGTCATCTCATCTACTTGTAATGGCTTGGAATAAATCATGTTAGCAATGATGCATAAATGTGTCAACTATTGCTTATATTTTTAATATTTTATAAATAAATTAAATCTCAGTAATTTGGCATAATTATGAAGTAATTACCTTTTTATGTCCTTTTAAGACACTGTCAGATTTACTTACATTAAGCAAGTAAGTACTGAAAGGTGCAACTATTACAGAGAAATAAAACTGTACAGCTTTGTTATAACAAAAAAAAAAAACACTTAGATGTTGCTATCTCATGAAGGGAAAGCTATGTGGACGGAGCTACTGTTCCTGTACTCCTGCTTCGAATGACGACCGTGTTCAAGTAATCCCACTGCACGCAATTTGATATATCTGCTTACACAGCAATTTGTGAGTCATATTTGACGAAAGCTCCTTCAGTGAGTCGTCAAAATCGCTGGAAGCTGACGTGCACTCACCTAAAGACGAAGACGCTATTTTGACTGTGAGGAGCAACGTGCGAAGTTTTCAGACGCGCAAGAACACGAAATGACTTTTCAGAAAGCAACAAGAAATAATAATCTCCTCGGTGGGTGCAGCATCTTTTTATAAACAGCATTCAGTAGAAAATAATGTTGTACTTTGATACTATTTTTACGCTGAAAACACAGGTGCATTCCTGGCACTATATTCTAAAGTGGTGGCACATGCCCACTTTTGCTCCATAACCTTCCCTTTATTGCTACAGAAAGTTGTCTCCGAGTTTAGTGCATTCATTTCTTCAGTCACTGAAGTTGGTTCGATTGTGGAAGCACCATTACATTAGAGTTGTAAATGTGTGTTTTTTTAGGTGTGTGTGAATATCTTTCATATAGTGTGTGACATTCGATTTGATTCGCCCTGAAATTTCATTTTTTGAACTTTCCAAAAACAAATACAGTCAACATCTAATTAAAAAATGACTCCTTTCAATTTTTAATGGGTGATTCCAAGAGAGATTGACACCGGTCAAAAAAATTTATATTTTAGATTTGATTGTGGAGCCCACTTTTTTTAGCCCGATTTCTCATGCGTTAATTGCCTAAGTGCATGATAACAAAGCTCGAACTTCCACCCACAATATTGTTGCTGCAAATAAACTAATGCAATATGTTTTTAAATATTTTTTTCAATCATCTGTGAGAAAGCTTTTATCAGATTTTAAGACAAATTGATGCTGGGGCTTTTTAAATATTGATTGTTCAATAGTCTTTACTGTCGACGAGTTCGAAAGTTTGAGACTATTTATAAAATTGTTTGTTTGAGATACAGCAACAGTATTGACGGGCAATATTGTAAGCAATATATTGTAATAGGTCACCGCGTTATGAAACACCGGCTGACCTAGCTTAAGAGAGAAAAAATTTCAAATCAAGCAACTTTTAAAAAAGTTTCACCTGTTCAGACATTTTTAGAAACATTTTGCTTCAGCATACAAACTTCAAACAATGCTGCTTCACTCTTCATTATGTGCACATTTACTAGAAAAAAATTGCTTTCATCAAGCTAATATTTGTGTTTTTATATGGTCGTTAACTTTCGAAATTGACAAGGGACGAAATCGGTGTCTCTCTACAAAATAGGTTCCATATTTTTTTCCTCCTAAACTATGCAGTTAATAAAAAAACGAAGTTCACTTTCAGGCTACTGGGTGGTATGTGCACAAAATATAAAATAAACAATCAAATCTAAAACATCAACTTTTCGACCCATGTCGATCTCTCGTGGAATTGCTCCAATATGCTTCACTTCAGTACACTTTCGTATTGCGGCAAAGCTGGCTTTCAGGCTTCACTACGGTCTCAAATGTATTGACTCAGGAAAACACTGGTTCCAACATAGAGATGAAAGATGTGGCGGAGGCAGGGCCCTGATTAATGCTTTTTTGGATCTGAAACTTGGTCAGGAAGTTCGAAAAAGCGGATGCCTAAGACTTTCAGCGTCCAAAATTTTAAATGTTCATGTATATGTTGACATCAATGGGGCATATTTGGAACTCCCAACTTGAAGGGAGCACTACCTTGTTTGTCATATCAGTTGGGCTTCCAGGAAAATTGAAAGAAGAGGAGAGGTTGACGGAATAGCATCTTTGTCTTTCACATGTAAAGTGTTATCAGCAACTATTTGGTTGCACGTACCAAATCATGTACTAATGTAATTCGGCCTCTGCGTTGCCTAATTCTGGATAAGACAATTACGAAAAGCACCCGACAAGCGCTTCATCAAACAAGAGAAAAGAAACACTTTCATATTGCTATCTCATAAGAATATGCTTAAGAATCTTCTCCAACTTTTTTTTTTTTGCAATGTCGCTTCAAAGTACTTAAAAAGTTATCTAAAAATATTCGATTTGATTCACACTTATAATATTTGAACTCACTTCATACCCAAAATTTTTCTGTTCATGCAGCTGTAGTTTTTCATTGTAACTGGCCATTCTCCACTCTATTGAGTAGTGGATGTAGGCACTAAAAAAGAAAAAGAAGTAACTTCAGCAGTACTAGTAAATCACAATTCTATTATATAGAAAAAGCCACTCTTATTTGACGGTTCACTTGTTGAGCTGTGGTAACGTCATCTTTAGTAACAAATTTTATAGAGGGAAGGCAGCAACGCAATGCACTGCTGGAAGTATTTTAGAACTTGCTTGCTGAATTAGTGCATGTCTACAGTGGGAATCGTTGTGCATACAGGCGGACAAACACGAGAAGAAAAACATAGTAGGTGAAAGAGTGCAAGCAGGGCATGCAATCTTATATCGTAACAGTTCAGAAAGCAACCCAGTCAAATCTCCTCATATGATTCGGCACATTTTATGACAAGAGTGGCATTATGATAAATCACACAAGGGCAAGTTAATAGTTTGAAAAAACTGTTTTCTGAGCCATTTGCTTTCCATCACATGATTGATTAGAAGTGCAACTTTTTGAGCTGTGACAAGGTAGCCACTTAAAGCTTGAACATTTTTCACAACTCAGCTATAATGAATTTAGTGAACATTGGGGAGTGAGCTGTAACCAAGCCAAAATACACTAACCATTCCAACTTGCTTGGCACCCATGTGACAGCATGTGGAACTACGCAAAAGCACTAGTGCCCATTTGCTTAACAAATTGACTTATTTTCCAAATTTTTTCCATTCCTTTCCCGCTTTGGCATTCAAGGAATCCAGTCACATTACTCTAAATAGACGAAATGTAATGTTTCTCGCAAGTGTCTCCTTAAGACACCAGAACATTTTACAGGAATTCAATACTCTGCAAAAGTTCTGATACAAGTAAATGAAGTCAGCAAAAACAGATTTTTTTCCCTCGACAAGATCAATTCTTCTCTTACAAAAAGAAATTTTGATCCCTAGTGTACTGTTATATAACTCATATTTGGGATTTTTTTTCTTGTATTCCTCAGGAATATCTTGCTGAAAGCCAAGCCACACAATATCCTAATGGATTTATCCAAAGTTCTGACGAGCAGCATAACGAAAGTGCAGAAGAGCAGGAGGATATAAAACCCAAATCTGTCAAAGACCTTGCACTGAGATTTGAAAAGATCCTGCGTCCTACTCTGCCAGATCAAGAAGTGTCTATTGTACGTGAAGAGTTACAGCTATCTGCTGTCAAGGAACCTTCCTTCACTGCCAACAAGGGTGCCCTAGGTTCTGCAGGAAACTTGGTCACGCCTAGAGATTCTTCTTGTGAATCACAAGCAATGAGCGTCTCATCTTTGGCGATGCGCAGTGAGAGAACAAGTGCATCAGCAAGTCTGCAGACAGGCTCCGAGAACATGTGTCAGGGCCGACCTTTTGGTACATCACAATTCACACAGTCAGCTGCTGCTCCATGCCATAGAACAGCTAATTCTGCAAGCCATTCACAACAAGTGACTCCAGCTGGGCAGACTTGCCAGCCACAGAATCTTGCCAAATCATTGTGCTCTAGTGGCAGTCTTCCACCATTACACCAAGCTCCAATATCACCACCTGCACCTTGTCCCATAAACTCTGTTCGTCACCACGCTTCATTTACTCGACCGCTTGTTCCACAGACATCATTCCAGAGCACGTCACCTGTCATAGGCACAATTAATGGGACAAGCAATCATCTGGCACCCAGTCATGGAGACTCCGTTCTTGTGGCATCCAGCATAGGAGTATCCAGCCATGGGGCATCGAGCAGTGGAGGAGGCAGCTATGGAACAGCCAGTTATGAACAGAAACCTAGGCCTCCATCAGCACAGCAGCTATACGGGAAGGCTTTCCCAAATGTTAAATATGATCTTGCAGAGACAAGATTTTTTAGCATGGCTAGAGGACACCCAGCAGTCCCAGTAGTTGGTGAAACAACACTGCATACCACTTCACCTGCCAACAATGATTCATCAAAGCGACCAACAAGACCTCCTGATTATGAAACTGCATTGCAGCGACTTGAAATGATAAAGGAGCAGCATCGCACAACATCTCCTGACACCTGTCAGTTTCCTGCAAAAACACCACCAGATGTGCTTCAAGGTCAGCAGCTACCTCAATCAGAAGTGGAGCTCGGCAAAATGCGCAAAACTGCCCTAAAAAAGTGTGTCACTTTTTCGGATGAAGTAGTTTTAGTAGCTTGTGCAGAGGAAGAGGAAGATGACTATGTGCCCAATCCGCTTCTTGAACGGGTTTACCGGCAGCATGCAGCGAAGCAGGACTGCAGCAGAGAGTGTCACGAGACTTCACAGTTTGAGGACATAAGCTCTGTTCACTCGTCTGACTCATGTGATAGTGTTTGCCATGTGGACTCAGTTGTTAGGCCTCATGACAGCTCCCAAGTTCCTTGCAACCTGTGTCACAAGAAGTTTGTGTCTCCTCCGACAGTGTATTGTCCAGACTGTGCCTTTTACATGTCAAGGTTCCAAAAACGGACATAGCCTTTTTTTCCTGAACATTCTCCTCCGGACTTTTGCCCAGTCTGTGATATTTGTCAGGGTTAACTTGATTAAATGCCACTTGCTCAAGTATGTTGTACTTTTGCACTGTTAGTTCTACAATACAAATTGAAGTTCCATCTAATACAACATCTAGCAAGTGGCTTTACCTTCCGTAAAATTAAGGTTGTGCCCAGATGCCAAGCAAACAATGGTGTCTTAAGTATTATATGTCCTGTTACATTTTTTTCATTGAATTCTTGTGTGCCCAGTATTGACTACACTGACAAGACAAAAATAGCACAAGTTATGTAATAATTCAATGCTTGAATGTGTTTGTTCATATGCTGTGTACATTTGTTTATAAAGTATAGCAAATGTTATTTCACAACAAAGGCACAATAAATGTCTGTTGTGCACCTTGTGTTCAGAAACGTAGCTATTTATACAAATGAGAAAGCAGTACCTTGAAAATTTTGTGATAATTCGAACATTTTTATGTATCAGATGCTTCCACATTGTACAGTATTAGTTACATGAAAGCACCTATGCCTCATGATCTCAATTCACCTAATTCACTTTAACAATATAATATGTTATAGTAGGTGTTAAGCATAACACGTAGTATTTGTAAAAAGAGCCTCACTGAAACTTTCTTCAAACTTCGTTCTATAGCCTTGCTATTGTGTAAAATATGCATGCATTCTTCACATGAGCTAACAGAAAAGCTGTACTTTACAAATACAAAAACACCTTTTTATAAGCTTTTATGTGCCAAAGTTGAAATCAATTTGTAAATAAACATTACTTTTTATTGCAACAACTGTTGGTCTTGCTTTGTGGCTGAACTGTGTATATCTGACACTCAGAAGTGTTTCTAGAGAGATAAAAGGGATGTAGTGCAAGCCACTGCTACAAATCTTGCAAAAGCAGGGCCCACAGATTTCTATTGTGCCATACAATAAATTGCCCGAACTGAATAAAAAGAAAAAAAAAACAAACAAAGTACAATAGGGTACACATGACAAATTCATTTGAATGGTATGGCCATAAAATGTTTATCATCGGGTAGTAAAACTAGCTCCACAGTAGCTAATGCATCCACAGTTTAACAGTATCAATCAGCACCTATAGATAGAGACGTGCTATGTAAATTGCTAAACCTTTCAGCATTATGAGTGCAGCTTCAAAAAATGAGCACATCTTGCACTATGTCGCACAAGGCAGAGTCACAGCAAAGCATTGTATTCAGTTTCATTGTATTCAGCTTCAGTTTATTTCGGACATAGTTACATGACATGAAATATGTCCACGAGGCAAGGCAAATGAAGACTCGTATGTCTCCTGACGAGGCCTTCACCCCGGACTTACACGTCGGACAGCAAGGAGCAAAATCAGAGAAAATAAGTACAATGCTCGTTGCACAACTTATATAAACAAAAAACGAACAGTAAAAAACACATTAGGACAAAATTTATACAAAGTTTACATTGTTCAGGTTTAACAGTTTTATAAAGTTACATAAATATACAAAATTGCATATTTTCGTGTTCAAAGCAAAATAATTGTAATTTCAAGGAGGCAGGAAAAGTAGCTTTACTTGTTTTTTTAAAACGAGACATACTTGAGTTCTGATTAGCCAATTCGATTAGGGATGGGTATGCATTCAGCAATGAAATAATCTGATAATACATAGTTTTAGTATCATAATTAGTTCTTGGTCTTGATTCCATCAAAGAAATAGTGCGAAGGTCATATGCCACTTGTCTGTTTAGATATTTGCTTGAGAACATGGTCGGTCACGTTTGAATTCGCGGAAAATCATTGCTACCAAAGAAAGCTGATATAACTCTGAGAATGGTGGTACGTTCAGACTTTTATACAGAGAGTCAGTTGATGGAGGAGGATGGAAAGAAATCATTTTTAGGCTCCTTTTTTGTATAGAGGAAACACGCTCAGCATCCGTCTTGTTCCAAGTACCCCAGACTAGGTGACAATACGTCAAGTGGGAATGAATAAAAGCGAAGTACAATTGTTTTCTAACATGCAACGGCAATAAATAATTTAGCCTGTATAACATAGCAAGAGATGTAGATAGCTTAGCACGAACATAATTTATGTGCTCAGACCAGCTGAGGTCAAACTTAAAAACGACTCCCAAGAAGCGGCAAGAGTTGACGAGCGTTAGTATATTGTTATTGATACTCAATTCTATGAAGAAGTGGTTTATTTTTTAGACGAAATATTACATACTGTGTTTTCTTTATGTTTAGGTTTATTTCGTTCACATTAAGCCAGGTATGAAGTTTGTTTAGCCAGATATTAGCACGGTGCTCTAATAAATTTAGATCTGGACCAGAAGAGAAAACATTAGTGTCATCGGCATACATGGCAATGGCGGGAGTAAAAGAAATGTTAGCAATATCATTAATATATAAAAGAACTAGTAAAGAACCCAAAATAGATCCCTGTGGGACCCCAAAGTTTATCTTACCTAAGTCTGACTTTAATTCCTGAAGCTGTGTATATTGTATTCTGCCTTCGAGGTAACTCTTTAATAATATAAGGGCCAGTCCACGGATACCATCTGTCGTTAGCTTATGAAACAAGATTTGGTGTCTGATCGAATCAAACGCTCTTCCAAAGTCAAGAAAAATTCCAACTGAAAAATATCACTGTTCGAAATTACTAAGTATCTTTTCTTTTACCTGCAGTAGAGCAGATTCTACTGATTTTTCACATTGAAAGCCGTACTGGTGTTTCGAGATAATATCATTTACTTGAATAAAATCATACAATCGTTTATAAATAATACGCTCTGCGATTTTTGAAAAAAGAGGCAGTACTGATATTGGTCGATAATTATTCAGGTCATTTTTACTGCCACTTTTATGAATGACAGTAACACGCGCAACCTTCATTTTCTCAGGGGAAATGCCAGTCTTCAACATTCTGTTGCAAATATTCTGTTGCTTGAGGGGCATCATGCTGGTCCTAGGTTGGCTAGGCTTTTGCCCTCTCACTTGTGTCCAATTTTGTTTCCAATTCCTTGCTATACTATATAGTAGACTCTCAGTAAATGGAAATCTGTTAAACGAAACTACTGCTTAAACGGAACTATTGCCTCTGCGATGCTTGGTTTTGGGCTTTCTATTCTGCACCAATGTTCACCTCTGAATAAACAGAACTCCTGGTAATTGGAACACATTTTCCCGGTCCCTTCAGGTTCTGTTAACTGAGAGTCTACTGTACTGCATATGGCTATGCTTGCTCTTTCTTTCTAAATATTTCTTTAGTTGGTGTCTATCTCTTCCTCTGTGCCTGTCTATCTCTGCAGTTGTTTTCTCATCTTCTATCTTTGTCACTATTTCAGCTTTCTCTCTTTTTCTGTTCTTATGCATTCTTCCTTCCTCCATTCTCTACCCTTCACCCTCAAATTACTTTCCTACCCACTCACTATACTATACTAGGCTATACTGTCCAAGGCTAGGCTATGTTTATCCAGGCAAGCTAGGAGGCTCTGCTCTCCTAGCTTTCCTCGATAGCTGAGTTGTTACAATGCTCGCCTTCAAATTGTGGAGATGCGAGGTCAAATCGAGCCTTGCCAATGATTTTTTTTGAGCCAAGCATTTCTCTTTTATCCTTCTCTCTCTCTCTGTACTCGTTCTTTAGCCTATTGGAGCTATTGCATCCTACTTCAGACAAATGGGCGCAGGAGTTCTGGGAGCAAAGAAGAAAATGAAGGAGATGAAAAGGGGGACGAAGTTCCTAAGCAGACAGGAGAATTCGCCTTTTAGATGTGCTTCCTGTAGGAATCTATAAATAGTGCCTTCTTCCTGCCGCATGTCTTTAGAAAGTAAAAATGGCATATAAAACAATTTCAGTAGAAGAAGCACATGCGCCACTGTGAAAGCTAACAACTTGGAGTTTTTATTGCAAAGACGGGAATGACAAAAAATGAAATGGCAAAAAATGTGACACATGATTACATGAAGCACTGACACATTTTCGAGCACTTTCACAGGGGATGAGTTATACCCCCCCCCCCCCCCACACACACACACACACACACACACATATATATATATATATATATATATATATATATATATATATATATATATATATATATATCGAAGGCATTATTAAAGGGGGGGGGAGATAGGTTTTTACAATGAACGCAAAACATTTCACATAACAACAAGCAAAATATCGGTATTCAATCATTGGTGCATATAGACGTGCATGTGCTGTCAGTCAAGAATATGTAAGATGTGAATTGATATGAATTTGCATACACAAAGGGGACATGAGGCGCATTCTTAGATACCACGATGTTCAATCGCACTTTAACATGCTGAGAAATGGCGCCCTTAGACCAATTTCCGCGTCCAATATTCAATGCTCATCTTGCTATCGCGCCTCTTTCTCTGATTGTGCTTTGGCTTTTAACATCTGATTGATAGATATGGGGGGTTTAACATCCCAAAACCACCATATGATTATGAGAGACACGGCTTTTAACATCTACAGATACAACAATAGTTTGTTTAATGAATTTGTGATAGATGTTAGTCGTCGGGATGGAGATGTACCAAGCGTCAACGAGGATACATTCACATTGAACGGAGCTTCCACACACTGAAACATACATTCGGCAAACCCTCCTTTATTAATGTACACTAAACATTTATTTAGTACCGTAAAGGTGCATTTTACTTTCGTGCTATATGCCAATTCCTCTGACGAGGGATCAGCCATGTTTTTACAAGGAACGATTGCTGTTATATTTTTTAATAATAAGTATTACACTTTCTTGCATATATTCAGGCATGTGTGTATTATAATTTGCCTTATTTGATAATAGTCTGAATACTGTATCTGGAGCATGCAATTATTATTAAAATTGCTAGTGTTATTTTACCTGTTATTAATTATTATCCACTTCTCAACCCTTTCCTTCAATTATTCGTGGTGTTACGGGTGTAGTACACTGTTTGCATTCAGTGTATTTGTATTAAAATTTCTCAATGGGCCCCCAGATACCTGCACAAATACACCAATACAAACGGTGTGAATAAAATTTTCTTTTGAAAGAACAGAATATGGGTAATTATAACATTAAACTAACCCTCGTTGCTTCCTTTCGAAATGGTCATAAGCTGTATATGATTGGTGTAAACAGTCTGTCATGCACACAGCACTAGACTGTTACGCGAGGCAGCAAATGACGAGAAAATGACACATCGCGTAATGACCCCTTATGCACGACCACATAGAAAAATAAGAGAATAAAGTATTTTCGATACGCTATATTGTTTGCCAATGGTTCTTCGGCATTTAAAATTTTCTGTGTGCCACAAAATCGCCTGCTTGTTACATGACGGCACGAAGCGGGAGAGCATCTCCTCCTAAGTGTAATTCAAGTAGGCTAGCTGCCAGTCACGTAAGCAGTCGTTACATATAGCAGTTGGCAAGATAGATTATAAGCCTGATAAAATATTGCCACTTGCAGCATAACGAAATCATTAGTGCATATAGACGTGCATGGGCAGTCAGTCAAGAATATGCAAGATAAGCCTCATGGGAAGCTTAGGCCCGGCCACCTAAACCTGCTGGTTTCTTATAATAAAGTTTATTCCTCCTCCTCCTTCAGCAGCATAATGATGTTTAGTAGTTTGTGTGCGTGTACATCTCTGTGAGCTCATACTTGCTGAAAGGAAGAGGATTGGACAGAAATGAGCAGCGCTGCACGTGTGTGCTTCTTTGCTGTTCGAGATGTATTTTTAGCTGTAAAGGAAAATTCAAGTTGAGTAAAAAGCA